CTTGCCTCTAGTCTCACCCGAGGGAGGCGGGGGAGATCCAAAGCTTTGTTCAGGACGTCTATGTCCCTTCACTGATCAGGCCCCTTCCCTGCCACTCTCGTATCTCAGCTGCGGAGGAAGATGGGCAGAGACAGGACAAAGTAACCCCTCGCTTCTCCAGCGCCCGCAGCCCCGGCCGCCCGGGGCACTCCTCGACCCGCGCCCGGGTGGACGCACGTCCCTGGTGGTCTGCAACCCCAGGCCACCGTCTCCCTTTACTCCTCTTCCTCCTCTTCCCGGCCTGCCCGGATTCCGGTCTTTAAATACCCCACTTCAAACTGGACGGCGGCGGCAACAGCGGCTAGAAACCAGGGCTGTCCCCGCTTCCTCCGTGGCCCGCGCCCGGCTGCCCGGGGCCCCCGAGCCGGAAAGAAGAGTCGAGCCTCCCCGACGCCCCCGTCCCTCCTTGCCTCTCGGCGCCGTAGCTGTCCAGAGACACGCGTGTTCGCGGCTCCGACTCTACACGCACGCAGCTCAGGGTGCGTGGGCAGCCGGGGCGGGGAGTGTGTAATCGCCGTAATAGCACGCTCCCGAGGAAGGAGCAACCCAGAGCAGGCCACCGAGACGTGGAAACGCAACAATTACCGTCGAGGCAAATCCACACCCGCTCTCCCCTCCCGCCCAACTCCCGGGAGGCCGCGGGACACCGCGGCAGCACTAGCTGGAGGAGACCACTAGCTGGACACCCCACCCCTGTAACACACACAGACCCGGGCGCGGGGCGGGACTGGGGCGGGGCCGCGCGCCGCTGGGCCAATCCCGTGCGACTGCGCATTGCCCGACAGCGGGCCCAGCCAATGGGCGGGAGGCGCTTATACTCCTCCCGCTACCACCCCGTCCACGTCTTCCACAGTACACAATGGCCCCAAGGGAAGGCCCACTAGCCGCACGTCCCAAATGGAAAGGGACTCGGAGGGAAATGAGGGGTCTGGACTCGCCCCAGAACGAAAGTGGGAAAGGGAAAGGATATGGGAGAAGGGATGCAAGGCACTAAAGAGCTAACCAATAAGGGGTGGGCAGGTGGGCGTGAGCATCGGGAGCGGGAGCCAAAGCTGACTGGGGCTTTTTAAAAGGCGGGACTTCCTGCTTTGCTCACCTTCCTAGTCTTTTGTTTCGTAGCAACAGAGTGGTGGCTGGAAGGGTGTCACTTCTCTGCTCTGGGCGGGTCCGAGGCTAAAGAAATTCATCTCCCTAGGGCTGCCAAACTTTTCTACCCAGGACAGCAGCCAAACAGGTCTAAGACATTGCTTCTTGTTGGCTATCAAAAAAGAGCAACAGTCACCAAGCTTCTAAGATGAAGTATAAAGTCACATAAAGTAAGCTAAGGTTAACACCTGACTTCCAACTAAAACTTCCTAAATTTCTGAGAGTTTGCCTTTTACTGTTAGTTCTAGAGGGAATGCAAATTAAACAGCAGACTGATGAAAAAGCAGAGAGTTGACAATGCTGGCCAAATGTCTCTGCTAATCGTGCCAGGGCAGTAAAAGTACCAGACAATGGGACTTGCTAAAGTATGCTTTGGGCCTTTTTACTTAGTAAGAGTTTCTACATAAATAACTGAGGAGGAAACAGCTTTTGTATTTTGTCTGTCACCTTTACATAAATTTCTCTCCGTTTTAAAAACAACCTTATTGTATCTGCCATTCTCTCCCAGCATTTTTAATCTCTTTCTGTGGCTCCATCTTTTCTGCCCTTAAAAGGGTCCACATTCGGCTAGTCTTAAAAGGACAAAGTTACTGTGCTGGGACTCTACTTTCAACAAGATCATAGATTAAGCAAACACCTTTCTATTTACTTCAATCCTATCACACATGCTACTAACAATTGCTGTGGATTTTCATGCATAGAACTTTCTTTCCACTACAGTTTATCAAAGTTGAATACACTTTAAACCTTGGGCTTCTCAGATGTTGTGATATTTTACATCGTTTAAAAAAAATTAATCTTTCTCTAACCAGTTAACCTGTATAAATGTTTCTCAATAGTTCTAATAAGTTTCTAAGATTTTCATTTGATGAAAACAGACAAAATGTGCTCTTTGCAACCAGTTAGGTGATAAAATGTGGTTCAAGAAATAAATTTGCTTCCTTGTCATTATTTCTATGCCAGTAATTAAAGAGTAGTTCCTTGTTTTCACATAGTGTTTATCTATAAATGTGCTAGCCTCTCCATATCTCCTCCACCCATCCTTATCTCCTTTACTCATAGTAATAGTAGCTACATTTACTAACGGGAGACTGCAGAGAAAAACTTACTGGGTCACCTTTAAAATAAATCTAAAAAATTGAAACATGTATAGAAGGTTTTTCAGCATGTAGCAAAACAGTGGCTTAAGGGAACATTATAACTAAGTATATTACTCATATTCATATCTGGATAAATGTAGGTTAAGTGAAATACATGTTGTAGCGTGTGTCTTTCTTTTTATATTGTGTTTTGCAACTGAAAGAAATGGCTCAATGAGAAAATAGGACTGTCTATGATCTTAAGCATATCATGTTGATACAAATTATGTTTTGTGGTATATGGTTAGACATATATGTATGTGTATGTGATATATACTTATGTGTGTTTGTATATATATATAAACAAATTACAGTTTCATTCTCAACTAGCTGTTTTATCAAAGCCATCTAGAGTCCAAGTTAAGTTCTGGTTTAGCAGGGGTCCCAGTCGAGCCCAAAGTAGGATTCAGAGTTTGGTTATGGCTGATGAACTGATGGGGCAGCAGCCCTCCCTGACAATTATTAGCATGAGTTAACATACTTGGAATAAAGACCTGCTGGGATAAAATTTCATACCCCAGTGCCTCCAATGGAGACACGAGAGAGAGAGAGCACAGTAAGCACAGTAAAAGACTGCATGCTTAGGGGCTGCAAATAAGAACACAAACAAATGTTTTCATAGGAGACTTTGTGATAGTAAAGTAGTAGTAGTACTTCAAGCTGGCAGAGAAATAGTCTTCTCATTTCTATAGAACAAGTTTTCAGCATGCTTCAGTTTAAAATGAATACAGCATTATTTGGTAATGTGGGGATCTGTAACCTAAAGACAATATGCATATGACCTCCTTAAAGGAGAGTAGTGTTCTCCTGCTAGATCCTGACAGGAGGCAGAATGATGGGATTCCTACCTAAAGGGTCTTAGAACCAGAGTGGCAAATAGGTGAATAATATAAACAAACTGGCTATAAGCAAATGTGAGAACCTTCCCTCAGGACTCCCAGAGAAGACTGGGAGACTTTGTGGCAAGTGTACTGCCTTGAGTTGAATGTTCCCCCCAAACTTAATCTGCACAGTAACTGTTAAGGGTGGAAAATCTTATCATGGTAATTGAAAGATGGGGCCTGGAAGAGATGATTAGACTGTAGGACCATGCCATGGTGAATGGATTAATAATGGTGGTCAGGAGCATGGTTCTGAGGGCTTTAAATGGAGTGTGCGTGAGGAACTGTGTCTCTATCTGCTCTGCCACTTTTCTGCCATGTGAGACTCATGGGTCTCTATTGCCACCACCAAGGCTTTCTCCAAATGTGTTCCCTGGACTTTGCACTTCCCAGCCTCTGAAACTGTAAGCAATAAATCTCATTTTCTTATAAATCACCAATTTCATTTTCTTATAAATCACCCAATTCTAGGTATTTTGTTATAAGCAACAGAAATGGACTAATACTGGTACTTAAGAAATTTTGTAAAGACAGCTATGAGCCTTTGTAATTTGAGGCTTAAAGTTTGACACTAATATATGTACCAACATGCTTCTGTCATCTGGGAAAATGTAGATTATATTCCTGTCTATAAACAAAGGATTTTTCTTTAAAAAAAAAAAAAAAAGACAATTATTTGAGGGAAAATATTTAGACTTTTGTAATTTGGTTCAATTTTTCTTCTTTTTTTTCTACTTTCTCCAGATTCACAAGTGACCCCTGTTATTTTGGACATGAGTTGACTACACAGAAAAGCCCTCCCAAAATTTATTTGTCATATAATAGCTCAAAAAATATTTGTTAAATGAATTAATTGACTGTTTAAGGATATTGCATAGGAAATATAA